AGTCTCGTTTCTCCACTACCTACCTGGTTCTCCCTCTTTCTCTCTAGGGTTAGGTTTTTGTTGATTGTTTTTTTTTTCGTATATATAAATTTAATTCGATTTGTTTTGGGGTTTTCATGTTGTACTTGTAGGAATATTTGCATCTTTGGCTGCGTTGATGTTTAATTGTGTTAGAAGAGAGGACATCGACTACTCTCCCTATGAAGAAGGTGAATGGAGGTATGAAATCTTTTGAGTTTAGTACAGTAATCTTTAATTTGGTTATCGTTCACATCTTAATCTTGTAGAATTTGTTGATTACTTCCCCCCTTTACTTATTATCAACAATTGCAAAGGAATGTTGATGGTTTGCTAATTTCTTACTCCCTCATCACCAAATTCAAATTAGCATTTTAAATTAATTGTGGCTTTTGAATTTTATGTTCTTTTCAAGTTTTTAAGCACCAATCCATGCACATACATACTTTGCTGTGCAAAAATTCAGTCACAGTCACAGATGATAAATAAACTCAAAGACATGATGTGGGTTGGAGTTAAATCATTAAGCACCAAGAGTTTGCAGAGAATAGAAAGTAAAAAAGAAAATGAATGTTCCGTTAGAAAATAGAATCGATATGACACGTTTGGTTTATTTTCTCAGATGATTAGCTGGCTTCTTTTATTTTCATAAGACAATCTTTTAGATTTTTGTTGCAAAATGAATTAAACTCTTGGAAACAATATTTTAGTAGTGATATTGGGGGATTTAGATATCAAAATATTCCAGATTTTCTAAATGTTTACATCTTTTAAGCAACACATTTATTGTGAGTGGGAGGGAATGGTAGTTTTACTAGGGGCACACCGCCCATTATGATATAAATTTAGGTTAGAGGTTTTCTTTTTTATGATTTTGGCAAATTATTGGTAGCAACAGCATTAGGGTAATGGCTTTGTGAAGTCATGTAATCGTCATTCCAAATAGAGTTGCAAATCGTTCTTGATTCGCCAAGACATCCTTGGATGTTCTTCTGAATATCACTACAGTTTCCTAAATTCTTGATGTTGTAGATCTCAACATTATGGATCAAACTTGCTCTGATATGTTTTTATTGAATTCGAAAATGTAACCCTAGCTTTCTAGAATTTAGTCTCTCCCAATTGAATTCTGTTAAATGATGCCCAACAACCAATACAAGACTCCTACATATACTCTAAGTCTCTACTAAACAGACATAACAAGTAAAATGACATAAAAACCCTTATCCCTTGTATTGCCTTTTTTGACCGGTGGACTTTACCACTCTATGCATATATGATCCTTATATGAAGTACACCAAATTATATCATGCTTGAGGGAGGAAATGGAAATAAAATTTAAATCTGTAAAAAGTTTTTTTAAGTGATTCTGTATGTGGTAGATGGTCTTTAGATCCTGTAGACTGTAGTGCATATCTGAGCAATTACAGTCAGTAGTTAGGAATTAGATATTGATAATCTATTGGGCTGTCGGCTGTCCTTTTGGAAATGGTGTAGGCTGTAAATCCGGTTTGCTTGCTATTTGTATTTTGTTTAATTTGGGGATCTTATTTTCAGGTTGAAGCTTTGGCTTTTCCTAGCATATGTTGTGTCATTTGTGTCCTTAGCAGCGTCAGTAGGGTTGTTGATACAAGACGCACTTGTGCCTGAAGGTCCTTCTGCTTGGACAGGAACTGCAGGTGTTTTGCAGTGTGTGCTTGTCTTAATTAGGTCAGTTATCTTCATCTTGCTTCTTTTTTTTTTTCACTTTTTAATCCTAAAGTTATCATTTATTCCGTTTTCTCAAAAAAATTCCATACAACTCTTTATGGGAAATAATAACAAACCACTTGTTCTTTTTTTTTTTTTTTTTTTTAAATTGTGTGCAGTGGGCTTGTTTATTGGACATCTCATTCGGAGTAAGAGGAGGAATGAGTGAAGGGAGACATTTGTGGTTTTGCGTGTTAAAATGCTCTTGCTCTTGTATATGTATGTGGCTCTGATGATGATCCAAGCAACAGATACATAGTAAAACACAGTGTTTAAAGTGAGTGATTGACCGAATTATTTTACACTTGTTTATATGACCTTCCTTACCTATTGGTTATCGTTTATCTTTGCTTCTCAGCTTCTTTTCAATGTGTTTGTGTTTGTGTTTGTGTTTGTGTTTGTGTTTGTTTGTGTATGTGATCATCTTTGGTATATGAAATAAAACCAACTTTAATAGTTAAAAGGAAAAAAGAAAAATGAAGCATGATGTTGTAATATAAAATGTTGTTTCTTGAAGGTTTATTACCATAAAATTCATAAGTTTTATACACTGATTCTAAATTAGCCTTAGATTTTTTGTTTCTAATTAGCCTTAATAATTGAGACGCCATTTCAAAATCAAATCCTTAGCCGGTTAAGAATATGTTAAACTCCTCATTCGGTCACCACTATTATACAATGCAATCCTTTCCAAAATATGCTCCCTACTCTCCTACATCATCTTTTAGCATAAACGTCTTGATCTTGGAAAGAAGAGGGTTTTTGAAAAGGGTTTCTAAAACCATTGTTGCTTGCAAAAGCTTCCATTTTGATGGAGAAATACAGTGAGCTAGGAAGGAAGGTAAGTGGATGATAATGAGGAATCGATGTGTCTGTGTGTTGTTATCTTCGTTCGTTCCTATTTCTCTCAATCAGTCAAATGAAGGTAAGTGGATGATAATGAGGAATCGATGTGTCTGTGTGTTGTTATCTTCGTTCGTTCCTATTTCTCCCAATCAGTCAAATGACGAAGCAAACAAAAATTCCTTAATCATTTTGTGTTTACAAAATGAGTCAATTCCCCAAAATTTGGTGTATTTTAAACAAAATAGTCCCCCCCCCCCCCCCCCCCACTTGGAGATTTCTTAAAAAGATGAGTCTAATTCCCAAACTTTAGTTCCAATTAAACCATTTCAGTCCCTCCTTTGATTTATTTTAACCAAAGCAGTCATATTTTGGTTAGTTAAATTACCAAACAGCCCCAAATAGTTTAAATTCATTATGAAACAGTCCCGAAAGTATTTCAAAGTTCAAGAATTGTGGTTTTGCGGTTTCTCACGACAAGTTTCTCAAAATAAACCGATTCCAAACAAATTAAATTCACGTTTCGAGGTGAGTGATTACGACCCTTTTTTAATATTTCTAATTATTTTCGCGCGGGGGGTGGGGATACATGTGCCTATATTCTTTGTTTATGCAAACAAATTATCGTTTGATGCGAAAATACAATAAGTCTAGTTTATAAAAATGTTATTTGACAATGTAACATATTGTTACAAATAAAGTAGTATAAACTTTTCATATACATATTATAGTTATTTTATCGTGAAATAACTAGTCCACACAACAAATGTCACATGATACAAAATATATATGATTTTATGTGACATTGTATGTCATAAAAAGTATGTAATAAAACTTTGTAGTATTTCAAGGATTCAAGCTATTACTATGCATGTACATTTATATGTTTAAATACATAAAGTTTATACTTGTACATATGTTCATTACTTTGGAACGTACATGTTTATAAAAGCGAGTACATTACACTTTTACATACATACCAAGCATACTCGGCTTTATATATAAACTTTATACAATGAAATTAATTATGCCTAGTGACTTATCCACAATTAAGTTAGGGATGACAACTATTCACATACTTTATTTAAGGGCTTTTTAGTGAGACTACATTCATTAGCTAAGTCTAAACACTTAGCATACTCACACTATTATAACCATTAATCTTCGGAGCGAGATACATAGATCTATACGGGATTGACATCCCCACCTGCGGTTGCTAGCTACAACCTCGATCGATCAATCGAAGCGGGAGATAAGTGTCTATTATTGTTACTACAACGTCCAATTAAGCGTTATAGGGGGTATATTCAGTCATATAGTTCGGTTATAGGACTCACTATAAACATTAACTAGAATCTTTCTCTTCAAACCATGAGCTTGGTTTCTTTCAAAACTATTTTAAGTATGGATTTACTTATACAAAGATACATTTTGGTTTTCAAAGACTCTTTACAAACATAGTTTTAAGTATGGATTTACTTATACAAAGATATATTTTGTCTTTCAAAGACTTTTTACAAACACAATTTTAAGTATTGTTATGCCTACAAAGAAAATACTTTTTAGACATTTAAAAGTATTATTGTTGTTAGCAGAAAACCTATAACTCTCACCAACCTTGTGTTGATCCTCAAAACTACATGTATTCTTAGGAAATAACTAAACAAACATTCAAGACGAAATGGATTACAAGCGACCTAATTTACTAGCTGTTGTATTATATGCCTATCTATTAAGACAATTCATGTACTACTGTTACCTGTGATCCATGAACTAAGTCGCACAGCTTGACATATTGTATTATATATGACATGTTTTATGATCAAATGAAAAATGTGTTTACTACAGTTTTTTTTTGTAAAATATACAGTATGTGTCAATAAACATTAAATGATCACAATGTATATATGTTATATAATTAAAATATAGTAACAACACTAATACGCACATGTGTATAAAGTATTATTTGCATATTGAATTCTTTTCTAAAAATCTTACACAAATACCTATCTTGGTTAAACCATTTCAGTACAATTCCCAAACTTTAATTCCAATTAAACCATTTCAATCCCTCGCTTGATTTATTTTAACCAAAACAGTCCTATCTTGGTTAGTTAAATTACCAAACAGCCCCAAATAGTTTACGAAACGGTCCCAAAAGTATTTCAAAGTTCAAGAATTGTGATTTTGCAGTTTCTTACAACAACATGAAATTGTGAGATCACATAGTGGACATTAGAGTAAAGAGTATTTAATATTAGTATGGTAAAAGTTAAATCATAAGAGAAAGTAGATGGTTTTTTTATGTAACTAATGTAAGCCCAAGAAGTACTGTTGTGAGCCAGCCATTGCCAATAATCTTACTTACATTTCATAGGAGAAAGTAAATGCAACAGGATTCAATATTTAGATAGCAAAATGCTTATATGCTTGGCCATTAAATATAACAATAATCTTACTTACATTTCAAATTCAAACTAAACTACTACAACTACTATTCGTCGTCATCAAAAACAAAAAGAATTGATGTACAAACAAACTAAACAGCATTTTACTCTCTCTAAACAGCTGTGGCCGCTGCTACTATACTTCAACATCACCATCACTGGTAGGAAATAGGAACACAACAGAACTGAAGCAGAAGCAACGTTTGTTTCATCATTAACCCAACGCAACACTATTTAATTAATATTAATATTAATATTAATATTAATATTAATATTAATACTGCCTCCCTCCTTCATTCCCCTATTCTTGCTTGCATCACATCATCTCGTCTCATCTCATCCCATCTGTGTCTGTCATAAATATAAACATTAAACACAATGTAATATTATCTTGTTACCATACAAATACATCATACATACATACAATACAAAGTTATCAAGACTAACCACCAAAACTAAAATTGCATTTTTCCATCATCATTCACACACACAAGTGACAAGACCGAGTAAATTGCCCTTCTTACATATCCTACACTTTCCTATTACTAATAGAAAACTACCATTGACATAGAGTATTATTAACTATTAACTATTAAGCCACATTTTGTACATTCATTACCTTAGCTTAATATTGGTAGTATTACTGAAAACACAATAAACTAATACTAATTTATTTTCCAAAAACATGCCAGATTGCCTACTATTATTTTATTTTGTATAAATGCCATCATTCAAAATAAAGTGACTTCACCTTTGTACATAAACACACACCAAATTCTGACCAAGTAAACCAACCCCTCTCTTCTTTTTACTAGACACATACACCATCCTATCCCATTCTCCCAACAAACAGGCTTGTAATAATTGAAAAAAATTATATTCTTTTCTTTCCTTTTCATACTACAAACAATTCAGTCTAGCACAATCTGGTGGGTGGGTAGACACTAGACAAAGTCCAACAAGTAGTCATTAAGGTTGGTTTTGGAGCATGGGCTGTTTTTGGTTATGAGGAATTGAGGATGTTAAAAAAAAAAAAAAATGCTACTTTTGTCCCAAACAATAAATAGAGAAACCCTGTTGTGTTGAAAAGGTTGTAATAATAAGACATAAATACCTTGATTCTGGTTTAATTGAGGATCTTGTAGTTGTAGTTGTAGGAAGGAAGTGGCCTTGTAACAAATGGATGGTTTAAGAGCTGAGCAGCAGTTGGACGATCTCTTGGATTGACATGAAGGCATTGGAATATGAAATCCCTTGCCTCTCCTGTAACACCATCTGGAACCGGTGGAGGCTTACCGCTTCCAATTCTATATAATGCAGCCATCTGTTCATGTTCATGTTCATGTTCATCACAACAATATTACCTTCTTTTTTTTCTTTTTTAAAAATATATTATATCTACACAGTTCAAAGCATTAATTAAGTAAATAACCTTCTTTAAAACAGAACCAATCCAGAAGCTATATCCTTTCAGTTTCAGTTTCAGATTGTGATACTGACCAATTTCTCCGTTAAATAAAAAATTACAAGTATTGTTCTAAATAAATAAAAGCGTCAGCCAAAATAGAACAAAAGCATAGACGAGTTGAAAAAGAAGTATTTGAGAAAATGTATTAAAATTTCAACAACACGAACACGGTACCGGAACCAATACTACTACTACTACTAGGAGGCACAGTTAAGCTAAAACAAGTACTCTAGAATCCATAACAAACTTATAAAATATAATAGCCTAGCAGTAAGTACCAAGTAGTGTAGTTTTATTGTTTTACTGAGGCTTGGCAAGGGTAAAAGTAACATCGGAATAGGTAGTAGGACTGACTCATGGAAATAAACAACAGACATTATTAAAGAATAATAATAATAATAATAGAGAAGAAAAAATACATACACATTCCATTGGGGAATATGGAATCTGACGTGTCAACATCTCCAAGACAGTGCAACCAAGGCTCCATATGTCTGCTGCAAGTCCATACCCCTTCTTTTTTTGATTTACAACCTGCAAACAATCCAAATCCATCCTTGCCTTACTAAATCAAAATTTATTATGATCAAATTTCATAACCTAGAAAAGAAACTAGTCTTGTGTCGTGTTATACATACAGGAAGGCATCCACATGAAGAAAATTCAAATTCAAGCCATGTGAATGTAACCCACAGCCTTAGCAATTGGTTTTGTCTTGAGTTTAAACCCTAAGGCTGCATTTAATTTATTACAGACTGAACAACTTTTCAGGGGTCTTTCTCTTTCAAATAAACCATACACATACCTGCCCCACCTTTTTCATATGCTTATTTATTATCAGTTGGTTGTTTTTGGTGCTTAAACTCTTAGTATGTATGTATATATATATATATATATATATATATATATATAGCAAGTATACTTCAACAGCATAATGTCAAAGATATTGAAATCTGTTGTTTTGGGGCTTAATTTCATACATACTAATACTATACTTCAATAAAATAAGTTATTTATTTTAAGTATAAGTATGACTATTTCTATTGCATGGAAATAATGCTACCGTACTGTTGGGGTTGCATTACAAGTTTTATGGCAAAGATGCATGGAAATAGATTGATTATTCATTCTATTGATATTGATTGGCTTATATTATAATGCACTTTTAAATAAAAGAAGGTTGTGGTTGTCATTTCATTTCTTGCATTTTACCCGAATAATGCTCCATAGATCTATCTGTTCACAAAATAGAGGATCTCATTCTCATCTAACTAGAATAGCAGAAAACAAACAATACAAAGCTTAAAGCTTTATAATATATCATATTGCAAATTTGCAATAGGCAATAGCATATATGAATATTGGTTGTGGAAAATAAAAGTGAGACAAACCTCAGGTGCCATCCAGAATGCAGTTCCCTTGCAAGACTTGACATCATTGAACTTAGTGGCCTGTACAATAAAGGAAAGGTTTAAGAAATACACTACCAATACCAACTAATTAAGAAGATCATAGCAACCCAACCTTAGCCAGCCCAAAATCTGCAAGTTTCACTGACCCATTAGCATCAACCAATATGTTTGCACACTTCACATCCCTGAAAAACAAGCACGTAATAACATGCTACAACTTCAAAAATCCTTTGCCATCTATAATATTTGTAAATGAAGAGAAACTTCACCCTATAAAATCTATGATCACCACTGTATATATGATTTAAGGTTTCTTCAGTTGACTTTGTTACCTTGCATGGGATGGGATTCATTTAATTTTGTTTTCATAGTCTAGCATTGTATATATATATATATATATATATATATATATATATATATATATATATATATATTGCTGTCTTACCTCACAAGAAATGCACACAAGTTTCCTAGATTCGATTACAACTATCAATACTACCATGTATTCTTTTTAAGAAAGAACAAGAGAGAGAGAGAATGTGCCTTTAGACTTTAGTCACATGTTTTTACAGGTAGATGTGGGAAGTTTGGTGGTAACTTCAATGGTTAGCTTAGAGATACAATAATGTGTGTGTGTGTTACACATTACAGAGGAAGGATATGTATCATATGAATGTATGTATGTCTCTATTTGATTGCACAACATTCATAATTTCATATATTGAACAATGATTTTTCTCATAAATAGCAACTACAAATTTTTCATATGATACATATCCTTATTTTCTTTCCATCATGTACTAATTGAAGTCTCTGGCACAAACACTCGGTTGAGTTAGTTACAAATCATAGGGATAAAAAAAGAAAAAAAAAATCTTATCACAACATTGTTGTCCCTTTGAAAAATGCATGAAATTGTAGCAATGAGTAAGCTGGCTAGTTTTTAAAGCACATTGGAGAATGATGTAAGAATAGCTGGTGGTTTAATTTGGCAGATAGAGGCAAAAGATAGATTTCTATGGGTAAAAAAATAGCATATGGAAATAAATACCTGTGTAGGACACTGCGATCATGCAGATACTTAAGACCATGTAAGATCTGGCGTGTGTAGGAGGAAACTTGAGAATCCTGAAGATGGTATCTCTGATACAGACTTAAAAGGGAACCTTTTGTTACAAGCTCAAGAAATATATACAGCTTCGCCTCGTCCTGCAACCCACCCCAACCCAACCAATGATGGAGATAAATTTATATTCCACAAGTACAACTACAACTACAACTACAACTACAAGAAATGCAGTACCTTATCTGTCCCATAGTATCGAACTATGTTCTCATGTTCAAACTGACTTAAAAGAGCAATTTCCTGGAGTGGAAGGAAGTAGTATAGTTCTCAAGCAGGCAGCAGTTACATATCATAATCATAATCATAATAATGGTAATATAGGACAAGACCAACCTGTTCAAGTTGGAGTACACTCTGCCTTCCTTGTTCACCTTGATCAAGCAAAGAGACTTCCTTCACAGCAATAAAACATCCACCGCTGCAACAAACAAACAAACAATTTAAAGAGACAAAATCTGCTTGGCAACTCCAGTTACTGACTGACTGACTACTATACAAAATTACAAATACGCACTGCTCTCTATTATTTATTTATTAAAGAATCAAGCACTTACTCGCAAATGCCTTCATAGACTGATCCAAATGAGCCACGCCCCAGAAGCTCACCCCTCTGCCAGTGAGTAATAGTTATGTGTCTGAATCTTCCATTGGTAGATATGTTAGATCCGTATCCATTTGGTGATATACTGGATGTAGGCTCTGTGGTAGTACTTGATGAATCATCCTCATTGGAAGTTGTAAAAGAACACGATGCCGAAAGTCTCATCCTAACATTCTCCACGTCACCTATTTCTTCCTCGGACAGCCTAAACCCTTGTTGTTGATTCACATGATCAGAAGAAGAACCGGCTTCAATGGAAATGGAGGCGAAACTTCTTACGACATCCCACTCGGATCCAGCATCGTGATGATGTATTAAGGATTTCGGAATAGAACAAGACGGGGGAGAAAGAACTGGAGGCCGGACACCTTTAATTCCGTTACCAACTCTAACCCTAATAATATCGGATTTACGTTCCTTTCCAATAATTTCGGCTGGTTGCTCTTCTTCAATCGCAGTCGCACCATGATCAGTATCGAGATTTAAACGAGAGGTGGGAAGAAGATCGGAAGTAGACCGAATCTTTCTAGCTTCCCAGGATGACACGGGAATCCCAAAATCTTCGGGACTTTCAAACCCTAAACTACGACAAATTATTTCAACTTGCCCAGCATCACTTCCATCAATCCGAAAGCTCGTCCTATCAATTAACGAGGGTAGTATGTCAAGTGAGCGAGTACCTCGAACAGCTGATGACCGCACTGAAGCCTCCTCTGTGGATGTCCTGGAAAACTCGTACTCGATGTTCTTCCTTGCATTCATACGCTCGAGCTTTGGCTTCTTTGGCGTCTTCTTCTTTCTCCGTCTATCGCCATTAATAACGAGAAACTGGGGCAAGTGATGCATTGAGAGATAGAAGAGATCTCTTTAACCCATCAAACTTCAAATCGTTCAGCCAATTGAGATATGGTCGGATCAGCTTTTGCTCCGTAGAACCTTGACTTCTTGCTCGGGAAAATGGCGATCTCCAAAAGGGTTGACTGCCCGCGTCCCGGAGGGAAAAAGAAAGAGAGGGGTAAACGCCGTCTAGAGTCAAAGAAAGAGAAGGTCGCGGTGGTTGTTTACTTTTGTGTGGTGGTGGGCTTCAAGATATGAATATCGCCCACGCACACACCACCACTTTTTACAGTGAAGTTTCCGCAAAAGTTCCCCCCTCTTTTCTCGTTAAAAGTTTTGTAAGCTTAAAATATGAATGTTGAATCTTTTTAAGTTTCGGAATAAATAAATTATATATATACTAGCCGTTTACCCTCGCCAAGCGACGGATGTGAATAATTTTTTTCAAAAATTAGTTTTTTAAAGGCGATTTTTTTTACGCAAATAGTTTACTGTAATTTAAACAATTGTCAATAAGAGTCATGCTAGCAAATACAAAATCTGAAACAAAGTTAAAAGAAACTGTGTCATATGTGTAAGTAGAAAAAGATTTCAGTTTCATTGAACTGTTGAATAACAACAATATGATAGGTGAAGAGTTCTTAAATGAAAAAATTGAAACCCTAATTCTTTGGGTTTTTCTTTGTGATTCCATTTCAACCTCAGAATTTAACTCGTGTACGAGGTGTTTAATCCTCATGTGTCTCACAACTTTTTGTCAATTCTCAAAACCTTTAGTTGCTGTGGAAAAAATGATAAGGGGAGGTGTTGAATAGTTTCTTTTCGATAATTAGTTTCCGAGTGGTGATTAATTCAATTCGGTAAATTGTTTCCTCTCAGCTATCAAATCAAACCATAAAGTCATTACGTATTAACCAAGTTAAAACATTGATAGTTCTTTTGTTCGTACGAATCTCAAACGTTGATAAATTCATTTATGTTTTCTTATGACCTACTTTTTTATTTAAAAATATAAATATATTCTTATTTTGAGTTATAATTAATATACACATTCAATAAAACCAGATATAATTTTCCTTTTAGTAAATTTGACATGTAATCATGATACATTTTTAACATATAAAATATGTCAATTACGTTATTATATGAAAACATGTTATATATTATTTGTCTTTTGTAAAGTTTTATGTATATTTTAAACCTTGTCTTCATCTTTATTAAACAATTTGATATTTATCTTTAATATTTAAAACAATTCAATTTTTATTTTTAGAATGCCATCAAAATACACATTACATACATTAGAACATTATTTTTAACGATGGTATATTGCTCATTTTTATTAGGAACTCAAACGATTAATTATATTAACCATAATGCCAAAAGGATTCGAGACAAACATAATTGAATTTTTGGGAGTTGGTTATAGTAAAAAAAGTTTGTTATCTTTATCCGAGAATTTTGAAGTTTTTTATTTTAATTACAACACATTACTTAATTATATATTTACTTTATTTCATAGAAATAATATTTGCCAAGTTTTCTTACGATACCAAATAATAATATACATTTAGATTAAACCAGTATGGTATATCTGTGACTTGTGATGCCAAATATACATTCATATTTTCCTTGTGATGTAAATTATAATTGTCCATGGAAACGCCATACCCACAAAATATATCTTATTAAGTTCTTTTATAGTATAAAGACACATGTATATCTAAATCAGTATGTCTACCTTGTGCACCATCAAAACGTCTGGTGTATCATCATCATCCTTGAATCCAATCATTTGACAGTTGTTCCCCTAGAAAAACAATATAAAAGGGATTATAAACAATAATAAGGCTAAATTTTATAAAACTTTACTTTAGGGAAAGTACATAGGTTTAACTCCCAAAGCCACATACACAAGTGGTGTCAAATGGATGACTAATGTGCTAAACCAACTGAAACCAACAAAACAGAAGTATGTTATTCATAATCGTTTACCAAACCAATATGCTAAATCAAATTCGAAAATCAGAACATAACACATTTATAACATACTTTTTATTTCAAGACTTAAAGTAGAGTTGATAAAATCATCTCCATTGCACCATATCGACTTAGTACTTAGATCACAAACACAAAATGTACACTTCTAAGCATTTCATCCACATATATTTTGATTTAGAACAGATAATATACACTTCTAAGCACTGAAATACTGATCAATATATTTTGACAAATTTTATACATATACTAATTCAAGGGTTTAAAATCATACCTTTGAGACGTTTATGTGTGTGTTTTTTATGTGAACAGTGAGGCAACTGGTAGGCATAAGGTTTCTAGAGGTGGTGGTGATAGCCCGTAAATTTGAAGTTGAAATGAAAACAACCTTAATCCAAATTTTGAATAAACTTAAACCAATTATAAGTTAATTATTCTTGAAGTCAAATAAGAGATGAAAACATGAAAAATAATTTACCAAATAACCACAAAAATCTGTTTGGATGCAAATGGAAGCTCATTCGTACATGACAACCTTGAGATTGTTGGGTTGAGACCTTACAGCATCAACAACAATAACCTAGAAGGGATCAACCATTCCATACACACATCACACAAACATCACACATAGCCACGAGATTATTGAACAAAACTATTTTTGTTTTAAAAGAAATAGAAACATGAACATCACAAACACAACACATAAATATGTATATATATTAACCAAAAACAGAGGTAAAATGGAAGTATACCTAAAATTCCATGAACAAAATGAAATTTTTTTGCAAATAGATGAAACAAAGGAGTTAATTAATGGATTTTGTGTGAACCATCAATAAAGGTATGTATTCCATGAAATTCTTTTGTACAGTTCAATGTATGTTTTATAACTGTGATACGAGAAATGACGTTGCATCGCCCGGTGTTTCCGCCGCCGACTGGGGTGTGACAGATACCAATCTGTCACACCCCCAAACCGAGAAGGCGGAAACATTCGGGGGTGAAGGACGTCATGTACAGTATCATAACAATGCACAATAGTAAAACAAGCAACAAGATCCGTTGCATTAATAGAATAGTTTATACATGTGTGTTCTTTGAATAGTTGTATGACACCAAAAATATATATCAAATTAAAAGACGAGTCTTGAACATGCTCCGTCTTCTGAAAACCTGTGCAGGCGTACCTGTCTACTGGTTCCCTGAGAATACAAGTTATTTTGAAAGAGAGTATCAACATTTAAGTTGGTAAGTTCATAAGTATTTAGTGTCAAATGTTTGTATTAGTTTTATTGAAAATGTTAGTATACTTCCCAGAAAATCCCATATTTTCTACTTGAAATGAAAAGTTGTCTTCTACCCAAGACCCGACTGTTTGTATGTTTGTTCTCTTGTAATAGTGTAAAATGTATGTTTGTACTTGAAATAGTATAAAATGTATGTTTGTACTTGAAATAGTATAAAATGTATGTTTTCCATATTAGTAACTATCTTTACTAGAAAAATAGTATGCAATTCTCATGTGAGAATATCACTGTATGTATGTAATGGAAAATGAAGATTTACAGTTGTATTGATTTAAAATACACAACTGATGAATTTACTGCCTTGTAATCGTTTTGGTTAATTAAGGTTTTAATGTGATTAAAGTTATAACCATACTCGATTGACTAGCATAAAACACGACGTTCTTCAGGAGACTCTGGTTACAAAACATGACTTCGCAAGAATGTTGCCAAGTACATGAAATAGTATTTCACATTCTAGTATCTTGTTCATATATAGTATGTATATGTGTCTTGTTCTTGTATAGCATGCATAGTGTACCTTGTAATAGTATGAATGTAATGATTTATGTAATGTTTCTTCAATATATGAAATAGTATGAATTCATCCACTAAACTACACCTATTGTAGTTTACTAGCATGTTTGTTGATTTGTAAAATGATTTGGAGATAAGACTCATTTGCTCAATAATTACAAATGAGTTGAGCAGATGCTTAAAAAGGGTTTTTAATACCCATAGATCTATACACAAACTCATGCTCTCCCTCCAGGAGACTCTGGTTACAAAACATTACTAGTATTCCTACCCTAAGCCCACAACCAAACAAGGAACATGAGTTACGGTATTTAGCATTAGTCCTAAGTTACTTTAAAACATGATTATACACGAATATGCAAACGAATATGATTTTTTTATATAAAGGGAAATCTAAAATGGTTTTAAAAAGAGTTTGAAAATGGTTTTAACAGTATCTGGAAGCAATATAATTCTTTTGTCTATTTGTTTTCACATGTAAATGATAACACATTTTAATTGTGTTTTACTTGTATCCTCCCCCCCTAAAAACATTTAAAAAGTAAATTGTATGGGTATTAACTCACATTATGATGAGTGATTCGTTTGAATGTTCGATATAGGATGTTATTTCCACGAGTGAAGTCCCGTAGCAAAACCGTGTCCTAATTAGCATTTTAGGTAATATATATGTATACAATTAGTGTATGCAATCATAAAAATGATAAGGAATTGGACTAATTTGTAAGTTTAACTTACAATTACGAGTGTTAGAAGCAAAATGGAAGGCTGCTATGAGTTTATGGCTAGCCCCAAGAGTTCACGGCCCAAGATGATCTTGGTGTATTTGGTGAAACCAAGGAGATTCAAGGGTTTACGGCCAACCCTTATGAGTTTACAGCCCAAGTTTATGAAGGTGGGAAGGAGATTGGAAGGAAATCGGTTGATGAAATGAAGAACACTTGGTGTTCTTGGCAAGATCCTATGAAGATTCAAAGAAATTGGATGATAGTTGAGAGAGAAATGAGGGTGCTTTCGGTTGGGAAAAGATGAAGTGAGGTATGATTTCGGTTAGCCTTATATAAATACACCTTAGTTTTCGGCTGTCACAACTAGCATTTTTGCTAGGAAATTCTATTCTCATATAATCATTCAACTAGTATAATAACTGGTACTCTAAGCATACATCTCATATGTTCAACTATGAGT